AGATCGAGAAAATTTCATATCACAAAGTTATCCAATGAGACAAATGACCTATCAAGCCTGGGTTGTCAAGTATAGATAAGTCTTTTGAAGGTTTTGTTAGTGAAATATGTTCTGCTGAGTAAGAGCTGAAAAGGACTTATGATTCTGACAAGAGTGCATCATATCTTGACAATTAAATAAAAACACACAGGCCCGTAGCCAGGATTTTCCAAGGGGGGTTCACTTTTTGAAAAATTCCAAGGGGTTCACTTGTGACAATTTTGGTCCAAAAATGGCCAAAATCACTTAAAAAGTGCTCTGAATGGTGAAAAACTGCATGATTTTGAAAGATTTTTTTCCCTCAAACCCATCGAACCCCCCTGGCTACGGGCCTGACACAACAGTAGATATTGTAAGTTGTATGATTAAGGTGGGACCTCAGGTCCGTCAGCCAAAAAAAATCCTCGATAGATTTTCCTGAAAATTGCAAAGTGTATGTAAACAAGTGGTGTACATATGCTGTAGAAATTTTAAAAAGAATAAAATAAGTTTAGATACAGTAAGCAAGGTTCAAAGATCGTATTTTTGAGGAGCCTATACTGATTAAATTGTCATATTTAACATGTAATCCTATGGGAAAACCATACACTTACTTTACCCCCGGGAGATCTCAATCTTCAGAAAAATGGCTCGATAGATTTTTTTAAAATTTCGACATTTCTTTATTTGGAATATGATTATGCTTATGTTAGTTTTTTGTAAAAAGATTACAAAAATTGTAGTCAGGGTATTCAGTCAAAGTACCTTGTATTTTGAGAAAATATCAGCATCCAATTCCATCCGTTGGCGGAGAGAACAATTGAATTACGTCATAAATTTCTCACCTGAATGATCCGACAAAGATAAAGACGATTCCCAGGACAATGGGGGTTAGCCTTGCTAAATCAAATGTAGTTAGTTGATTTTGAATATAAGTAAAACGGAATGAATTACTACCACTAAAGTTAAGCGTCCCACAGTCTTTGAGAATCAAGGACGTCGTATAGGCCGAGTACAAAGACCGTAAATAACGTGCTAAATCAACGGCGGCCGATCGCAAATTAACTAACTATTGATTAAATCACGGTCCGTGATTAAATTATCGCCTCATCTACCTGCTATTTTAAGTATTGATGTAAGTAAAAGGAAACTTTTGTTTTTTTCATGTGCCGAGATTTAATAACGTATACGTTGTGTCAAATCATATCATTGAATCATATCGTCTTTTTTATCTTCAGGTAAGTATTGCCCATTTATTATGGACCTTCTTTATTTTGATTTTTCATAATCAGAAGCTCCGCCGATCGCCGATTGCGCACTTTGGCAATTCACTAAGTAAAGGTGATCATCAAACGTTTGTAATCACCGTTTAATATTTAAATCAGAAAGCCTTATTTGTCGAATAAACTGTGCACGTCTGACTTGATTTAGTTAAAATACATTACGATAAGGCTCGAGTACTATTGATGTACGTACAAGTTAATAAACGTCGGTACGTTGTTCTCGCTTGTTGATGTGTAATATAGTTTTGTCAACTCACGTTTCATCAGCAAGAAGTCGGCACTCGCGTACAACAAAAAGTCAAGCATATCATATGTGGTATGATCGTCATTATTGAATGACAAAATAAATAGCGCGATCGGGATGTACCAAATGTCTGCGGCAACAAGTACGATGGTTGAGTTCACTGAATGAGTACACAAGTTACAATGAAGTGTGTACAAAACATAAAAGATCCCATGGAAAACCATATATATTACTTTACTCTTCAGCCCGCTTCTCTAAAGAGAGCTTCGTCTAGTTTATAACTAGACTCTGAGTACAGGGAAACAGGAAACGGCTTGATAGTTATTTTAACTTCAACATTTATACGCCAAGATGATGCCAGCTTATCTCAGAGTTTTGTAAAAATGAAAATAAAAATCGTAGTCTCAATATCTTGTTTTAAAGTACCTTATACATGTATTGTAAGCTATATTGCATTTCTTTTATTTCCTTCAATATTGGTGATAAGAAATATTTTGCAAAACAAAATTACCATATGGACGTTAACATCAATTTACATTGATGAATTCTTCTTCTAATTTTTCAACAACTCTTCTAATTTGATAGAACATCTTTTCATAAACTTTTCCTAAATATTTTGATTCTAGAAAAGTACAGTGGATACGAATACGATGAGGTGGATTGCCGTGCCCGAATGTTTCATGTTTGGTACCTTTACTATAGCCAGACATTATTCTCCACTCTCGTCATTACCAGTTTTTCAGTCGGAATAATGCAGTCGAGCGGACCAAGACATTCTGTTTATATAGCGATATACGCGCGGCCTTGACAGAACTAACCTACTAACCTAGATATGCGACCTACTAACCCAGAGTGAACTAGCTAATTTGCATAAAGTTTTTGCAGTCTGAATCCACTATTCTCAGTCTAAACTGCCTGTTTAAGAAATTGCATTTATCTGTTTATGGCCCCGCTGTTTATTGACTGATTTCTAAATAAAAACAACCATGGTTTAGATAGGAACGATGTCTTCCATGTGGTGCCATTTTTGTGGTGATGAACTACGAGAAAACGGAGGAAATCGAGGATAAAGCCGATTGCTTGAATTCCAAGTTTCACTTAAGAAATGCTGCTTTCTGATTGGTCGGATTTCTTGCAGTCCGAATCCACTTTTAGGTTTTCAAACTCGACGCCAGTTTTAGAAATGGCACATACTCGATCTTTTTCTTCTCTATTTCTCTGTCGATTTCTAAAAGAATAATGTCATCGTGAAGCTGACCAAACACGTTTCTCGATGGTATCACTTTTAAAGCGATCCACTAGTGATAGATAGGTGAAATTCGAGCGTGGAGACGTTTCTCGAGAATCAAAGAGTATGCGCTTATAGGACATACTGATAAATCAGGCATTCTGATTGTTCAGCTTTTTTTGCAGTCTCAAGCGGCACTCTATTGTGAAGGACTCACAGACGTAACTTGCCAGTATGTTTTTCATTTTAATAATAATTCTAAGTGCATACCTTCATAACGCCTTCATTAGCGACGATCAGTCGCCGTAAACCTATACAGCATTTTGTCTCAACCCCGGGGACTCAACTGGCGACATATAACACGCCTGGGGACACGCCCCTTCGCACTCATTATTGCACTCTTCCCGACATTGGGCATTGATTGTGTTGCCAATGGGCCAGTTGCACTCGGTTTTAAAAATTCTCGGATGTTAAGATATCTCTTATCAAACATTTTAGCATGACGAATTAACAATTCATATATAAAAAATGTAAAAAAGGCAAAGAAAATATAACTAGACGAAGCTCATACGAAAGCGAAAGTGATAACAACTAGGACGAAAGTCGTGCCAATAAAAAGGATAATCTAAAACGTTTTACAGATACAATTTTACGAAGTAATAAAACGAACAAAAGTCATTTTTGAATTTATTAGACATAAATACAGAGTAATACGTATTTACAAATATAAATAGTGCGACGAGAAACATTTAATTATATTTTGAGCAACATTAGATGTGACGTGTCGGTAACCATGTACACAGTGATCAGGACTCAACTAGTGTTTACATCACATCATATTTTTCATATGCTGTTAATGTAGAACAAACAAACTATGTGCTTAAGATTAATTAGTTTTACTATGTTTTGAAAGAATTATAACAATATGACTTAAAAAAATTCAATCATTCATCGCCATATACTTCATGATGCTGCACGTAAATTTGAGCGCCATTGTTTTCCCATGTCATAGAAACCATGACGTTACTAGCGCTCAAATATTTCAAATGCAATACGCTAAATTTCCCAACTGTAAATGCCCGAAGATGCAAATATTTCTTCGTACATGAATATTCAAATACATTTGCATTATTATTACATCATAATTATTTGTATGTATGGGTGTCTTTGAGCTTGAAAAACTACATTAATAATTAAGCAATAGTATCGTGCTGGGTATGCTGACGGACTGGGTCCCACCTTAATGAGATGACTTGGATTGGTAGCGATATGTTGAACTATTGAGCACATTTTTTTCTTAAACTATTCAACAAAAAATTATAACAAAATCACACATCGTTAATGTTATGATCATCCTTTGAATGGTAACAATTCTATAAGAAAATATTTTTATAATAATTTTGTATTCAGCTCACATTTTTGTACATATGGTAAGTCGAAATCGCTCCAAGTCTCCTCTAACAATTTGGACAAACTTTAATTGAATGTTTAATCAATTTTTGTGTTACTAGTGATCACATATCCAATTAATTTTGATTTTTTAAGGCAGACAATTGTTTTCATGTCTGCCATGTTTCCTAACCTTAACTCAAAGTGAATGAAATAATTTTTCATGATTAGTGAGTATTGATCGAATATTTCATTCCATTAAGGCTAGGTGGAATATCATCTTGTGAAAGTGCCACAGGTATTCACTGTAAAGTTTTACTTTTTTTTCATCATAGCTGAAAAGACTATATCTCTTCTCTTAAATTCAGATCCATGTATAATGTCAATGTCATGTTGCAATGTTTGTAAATGTCTGTTGATTCAATGAGTTGACTCAAGTGAGCACTGTCTTGATTTCTAACTCAGTTCACATTCAGGCTCACAGAAAAATTGTTCTGATTTGATTTTGAATTCAGTTCACACTTTTGCAATTGTTTGAACATTATCAAGTAATTTTAACTGTCAGAAATTGAAAATCTTTCCTTGTCTGCCATATTGTACCTCCCCCCCACATAACCAATAAAAATAGAACCATTATGATTAGATAGAAAAAGAAAGGCTTTTTATTTGAAGCTTCTAGCTCAATTTTGAAGGAAGTTGCTTTAATTTTTGTAAAATTCAAAACAAATCTTTTTTTGGGGTTGCTTATGCCACGATTGCACGCCCTGAAAGTATTATAATAAACTTAACAACTCAGCTGACAAATATTTACCATTTCATGTATTTTGTTTGTTTCAAGGAGGCAGCAGCTACAAAAGCCGTCATACATCTTTGTCTTGAATCTGGCCATATCTGATCTTTATGTTGCTGCATTGGGCTGTCCATTGAATGGAGTGTCTAGCATGCAGGGAAGATGGGTTTTCGGAGATGTCAGTGAGTCATTACTATGTCAAGGTCCAATTGTAAAAAGTAAAATAGAGTTGACAGGAACGGAAAGAGCAAAGATTGAAGGAAACAAGGATGTTGGCAACAATCTAAATTGAACTGAAATTTCAAAAAATTAAGACAGTTCATTCAAATTTTATATCATAGAGAAAAATCTGTAAGGGCTTAAACAGATTTTGCAGCTCTTTCTTTTGCTGTATGAATTTCAGGCATTTTAAGACCTTATCACATCTCCCAACTTATTGACAAAGCCAATTAAATATTCCATTGGTACATGTATCAAAATAAGAGATAAATCTAAATATGAGTTAATGAGCATGCTGCCATTTTAATTTTTCAAGCGCACATACAGTAAAACCTGTCTTAGTGAACACCTCTATCTAGCGAACACCTGTCTCTAGTAGACAACCCTCCTCTGCACATACTCTACTGATTTCTGTATAAAGAACACTCTATGTAGTGAACACCTACCAACACTGAATGTTTTTTCTTGGCAAAAACATGTTCACTATACACAGGTTTAACTGTACTAGTAATTTCTTGTACGTATTTGCATATTAGAACGCATTTTCAAAAATATCATTGAGATTTCTTCATCCTTAAACTTGATATATGGTCCTAATAATAAATCAAAGAGAAATAATCTGTTTTTCTGAATTTGTAGTGTGCAAGATATACGCTGCTTCGGTGGTACTATCTGGATTAGTATCAATTTCAACATTGGCTGCATTAGCTGTTGACCGCTACTTTGCGATAAGTACACTTTTTACTGCCAAGAGGAAAATTACGAAAGAGCGTGCATTCAGCATCTGTATGTTCATTTGGTTGCATGCTGCTTTCTGGGCCTTTGCTCCTTTGCTTGGCTGGAATGAATATGTCCCAGAAGGCTATGGTTATACATGTTCTGCAGACTTCATTACACCGACACCTTTGTACCAGTCCTGGATAATGGGAGTATTATGCATAGGCTGCATTTTCCCTCTTGGCTTTATCATCATCAGCTACAGCAAGATCTTCTCTATCGTACGTAAGCAGCACAATGATTTTAGAAATATGGACCGAACAATGAATCAGCAACGAGTTTTCAACAAAAGGAGAACCTATGCTCAAAAGGTGGCAAAATGCATAGTTATACTTGTCTGTTTGTACCTAGCTACCTGGACACCATATGCCGTTATAAGTCTGATTGGGACTTTTGGCGATGCGGGAAAAATCACACCTGTAGTGGCTCTTTTGCCATGTATTGCTGCAAAAATGGCAGTCATCTACAATCCGATTGTCTACTCACTGACTCATCCAAATTTTAAACATCTTTTGGCAAAGAAAATGCCATGCTTTGCAACGATCAGTACTAGTGCAGGAATGCCTTCCGCATCTGGATCATACACAAGTAAACTGGAGAGTGATGTCGGAAGGCCAACAAGACGAGAGTCGGATCGGCGAAGAAAGCCATCTGATTCAAGTTGCGACAAACAAGAAATGGAGAGTTTATTAAAAAGTTTACGTCAAGCTGGATCGCTTATCATCATTAAAGAAAATAACAAAAAATATGTCTTGACGGAGGAAGGGCTCAAAGAGACAACTGAAATGAAGTCGCTAAAAAGTAAATATGGAGTGGAGATGCCCTCTGATATATGAACAGATAGATGAATTAACAGTTGCATTGTAAAAATCAGTCATATTTTCAAAAATATATTCTAGGTATCATTCATTGAAAAAAGGGAGCTCTAATGTCATTGATGCAACTACAATTTAGTCCAAAATGACCACTTACCAATTAATATAGCACAATTAGTGCTGTACTACTAGTAAACAAGGGGGGGGGGTGTCAATGTGGTAGCCTGACAGTTGTCTCCAGTATATCTCAACATAGAAGGACTTCTTTGGAGGTACATGGATCAACACTTGAGTAAAAAAAGCTTTTCTAATTTTACTCCATATAATAGCAACAAATTATAATAATGTCTGTTTCATTTTATAAAAATGGAAAAAATGTAAATTGAAGAAACATGATCTGAAATTACTGTATATGTAAAAGTTTGAGAATGTGCTATGGGGTGTGGCGCATACTATGATTGCAACAAGGAAATTAGCACCAATAGCAACATTCATGTACTACATATGTTATTCAACCCCAGTGACATTTCTAGCAGTTGGCTTTTTTACATCATGTGACATAGAATCCTGGCATCATCTGGCATCATCTGTATCTCATGTTTAAATGTCTGCCATTATTCATCCTTTTGTCGCCAGATGAACTGAATAGCATTGAAAAACCATTATTAAATATTTACTGAAAAAAGAAAACATGAATATTACATCCTAGAAATCTATATTTCTGGAGACTCTTTAATTCATTCAATAACATTACTCACTTTTTTATTGGAATATTGATTTGTATCAAAGGTGACACAAGCATCATCATGTGACTTGAACCCAAGCAGATAATCAGATTCAGAGTGGGTTTTGAATTTTTTTTAGAATCTCCAGAACTGCCATTCGGAGAATTCCCTTGGTCATGTGACCATAATGATAAACAAACCTAACGACCAATCAGATGACAGGATTTCCTCGGGATATTCAAATTGCAGATTTAATTAGTTTCGGTTAAAGTTATTTGATTGGACAGTACAATCATTAAATTAACACTGACAGCTAAGGTTTAAGACTTCTTCATTGGTCAGTAGATGAATATGTGATACGACTCAACATGCAAAAAGACCAGAAGATCTTAATTGTGATCTCCTATGTCTCAATGTATCTTTAAGATCAAACACATACTCTCATACACAGATATGGTAACAGTTAAATGGTGTGTGACATTTACTTCAATGTACATTCCTTAATCCTTGCTTATGTTTTGGTATATTGTTGTTGCAACCAATATACTGTACTCCCACTAATACCAGCCATGGTTGTTCCTCCAACCAATGGTTTGGGCTTCTTATTAATAAGCCTTTTCATATAGAATGTTCGTTTTAATACAGTAATAACGATCTCTCTTCTAATTTCTCTTTTTCAAAACTCAAAATGTCAAGTTTTTACCTATTATCACCCAGCACTGGACGAAAATATTGTCAACATTGAAATCCCCGGGAATTTCCTTGGAATTTCGCGACTATTAAATTTTGCGAATTAAAACTGGGGGAATTTCGCAACTATTATATTTCTCGAATTTTCCATAACTTGCGGACATTTTATAATGCACTTACCATTTTCAATTGTGCTGCCATCTTAATATATATACAGGAAGTGATGTCAGTGACTCTTAATTTGCATATAGTTTTGTATATTATAGGTGTGTTATATCATTATTAAGAGTATATTGACATGTGTTTTTGTGACCAGTAAATTCAATAAAAATTGTTGTGTCCTAAGCATTTGTTTGTAGCTTTAATATTAGAAATTGGTAATGATACAAATTAAGAATCTATTAAGAAATTTAATGTACAGGGTGGGCCAAAATTGTCTATATTACTTATTTAAGGAATAAAGAATCCTGTATTATTCTTACTGGAAAATTAAAAGCTTGAGTGTATGTACATGTAGTTTTCCATACAAAAATATACAGTGGAGCCAGAAGAAACTATCCGAATGGGTTAGTACACGCATGAATGCATATATCCTTAAAAAGAATGATACTTGGTTCTGTATTGCAATTCAAATATACTATCACTCTATTATAAATTAAAAAAAATGCATTTTCCAGTTCTTTATGAAACCATAAAGCACTGTGATGATGTCACACTTTTACTGGCACTGCTCAATTTATTATGAAACCATAAGACTGTAAAATAATGTTACTGCTCAGTTGAAAATGCACAGATTTTGAAACATTTAGCTGCAGATGAAAAATTGTCACTTCTACATTTGTTAATGGCATGAATAAATTGTTAAGGGTTTCTGAGAAAGAAATGTTAACACTAGAGGTCTAAATAAAAATTCAAAGGAATCTTATACTGATATTACCACGACTCACATAACAGGACCATACAGGCTGTCAGGAAGAATCATGAAGCAGCATGTTATATTCTGAAATGATTTCCAGACAAAAATGTCCCTCTTTTTCTAAAGCTAGTAAGAAACTCTAATTGAAAGAACCCACAATTCTTCATGATATAAATTTAGAACTTACCATATAAGATGACCCCTACTGACCAGAGGTCACACTTGGGATGATACCTCCTGTCACAGATGATCTCTGGGGCCATATAAAGAGGGGAGCCCCGGAGGATATCAACGTCTTGATCAGTCCGTAAATGTTGGGCAAAACCAAAATCTAAAAATAAAAATTGAAAATCAGTCATGACACTTCAGAACTAGAAAAACAGCAACTCCACGAAGGCAAATCCCACTGAACAAAACATATTATGCTTATTATAGCTAGTGTAAATGTTGAAATGTTTGTGCACTTTGTGATAGAAGCATGAAATTTGGCACAAAGTTAGTTTATACCATTGTGAACTAGGCATCATCATATAAAATTTGAACCAAATCCGTTCACTGGTATATGAGTTATCAAAGATTAAGTTTTTTACAAAAATTGGCCGCCATCTTAAAATTCAGCCGCCATCTTGAAAATTATTTCTTGAACAGAGCTACTGTGTCCCTAGGCATAATCATATAAAATTTCAACCAAATCTGTTCACTGGCATTTGAGTTATCAAAGATTACGTTTTTTACGAAAAAATTGCCGCCATTTTGAAATTAAGCGGCCATCTCGAAAAATTTTTGTCGAACATAGCTACTGTGTCCCTAAGCATCATCATATAAAATTTGAAAAATGGCCGCCATTTTGAAATTAAGCGGCCATCTTGAAAATCTCTTTGTGCGAAACTCCTTTGTCCCTAGGCATCAGCATATAAAATTTGAACCAAATCCGTCAACTTTTATTTGAGTTATCAACGATTACATTTTTTACGAAAAATGGCGGCCATTTTGAATTGAGCGGCCATATTGAAAATTCCTTCTCGAGCAGAGGTCCTATACTCATAAGGCATAAGCCTATAAAATTTGAACCAAATCCGTCAACTGGTATTGGAGTTATTGCCTGGACACACGGACGAACGGACGAACAGACGGATGGAAGAATGGACGGACGGCTTCTCTATATCCCCCTCGAACTTCGTTCGGTGGGATAATAATTGTAAAAGTGTCATGTCAAAAAGATGTGATAGCTGATTGATTTTTAAATATAAGTTCAAGTGAACACTAAATCAGCATGACAGTATTCAAAATCATTCTATAATTAAAACTACATTTTTCATTACCTTCAACATTGACATTAAATGGCAATAGTTCAACAAAAGTTAAAGTGACTTTAACCCACATACTCGATAAGATTTAAGTTGGCATCAACTACATCCTAAGCAAATGAAGTAAATGAATGTAAAGACAGTTTCTAAAGGTCTCGATATCCTGTACTATTATCCAATCATCCCACATCTAACAAGGTTACATAACACTGTTGTGATGTAAACTTGTTAGATACATCTGACAAGGACACTTCCCATTGTGATGTAACCTTGTTAGATGTGGGATAAGATTATATAACAATATGTTCCATCCCACTGGCTACAGGCTTACATCACAGGTCTTGTTGAACATAACAATATGTGAAAAATTCTCATTTATTCTCACTGAAAATCTGTATAACAGTATTTCATGAATTCTAAATCTGAAAATTCATCTTATTTTTACACACATTTCTAAAAGTTGCATTTGCATAGGGAGGAATTTCCTTGCAAGTGAATTGATAATATTTATATGTACTAGGGGCAATATCTTTAGAGGTAATTTGGCATTTACTGAATATAACATAAATATATAAATTAGCCAATGCACAGGTATACGGATCCAATCTTAGAGCATGCACCACATAGAATCTCTAATAACTAAAACAAAAAAACAAGTCATTAACATTACAAAAATAAAAAAAAGTGTAACGCTTTGTTACAGACAAATAAAATAACTTACCTGCAATTTTCAGAATCGGACTATGCGTTGCAGATAACAGAATATTCTGTGGTTTAAGGTCCATATGGGCCACATTTTTACTGCGTAGAAACTGTAAGGCTTGTGCTGAAATAATGCAAAGCTACGTAATATTTTCTAGGATTTTCCATGAAAAATAATAATAAAAAGACATTAACATGGAAAATGTCACCACCTACCATTTGTTACAGACACTAAACACCAATCGCCAAGTTTTGATCAAAATATTTATACCCGCCTACTCAGATGTCCAGACTCTCATATGCCCAGAATCCCATCACCACATGATGACAATATAACACTTTTTGAAAGGGCGATATTAAAAGAGAGTAATTTGTAGAAATGTCTGAAACATTGTCTTTATTGTATCTATTATCAATGGACAATCGATGCTACATCTTTGTTAATGTCACACCGATGTCTCATTACATGTTTGAAAAAGTGTCCCTTGAATCTAATGCTTAGCCACTGGAGATCAAACTGAATTATTGTGACTGCACTCAGAAGCTCAAGGGAAATATTTTTATATGGCTGATCTTGGGCACGGGGGCTCAGCGTTGCGCATTACACATGCGCATCTAATATTAATACTTTCTTCTATTGAACAGGAGATATCAACACAGCGTCATCTAGAGACAAAAATGTTGATTTTGTGCAACATCGCTTTAAGTAGGTGATGGTTTCATGCACATGGTAGTTTTATGACTCGTGTGTTACCCTCATGAAAATGTATGGCTCAAGATACTTTTGGGATGTTATATGAACATTTTATGGAGAACTATAAAAATGAGAGCCCTTTTCTACAAACTTATTGAAAGACCTGTAGTTACATTTTAAATGGAGTTATAAAATTCAGAACTAATGATGGAATCCCTACGGCAAATCAAGAGATATATGCAGCATAAAATATAGGGATAAGCAGTACATTGTACATGTATATCATTTTTGTGAAGCTACAGCCGCTGTAAAGCAAATGTGAGTTTAAATCAGTGCAAAAATGTTAAGTAAGAATTGAAGTGAAGGATAATTTGTCAATTATTTGATTGTCTATTGAAAAGAGAATTGCCTGAAAGAACGGTACTTTGCTAAGAGAAATAATTGAATGTGAAGATGTGAGGTTTCAAAAGTGACACTAATTATGGAAGGCCCGTAGCCAGGGGGGGTTCGCAGGGTTCGGGCGAACCCCCCCCCCCCCCATGGCCAAATATTCTTTCAAAATCACGCACATCTCAAGTGATTTTAGCCATATTTGCACAGTCAAAGAGAATGTTCTGGCGAAAGGAGATTGGGATTCCAAATTCTAGATATCTGTCCCGTTCAAAGAACATATTAGACGATGGTGCATATTTGGGCTAAAATTGTCAAATGTGAACCCCCCTGGAAATTTTTGAAAACTGAACCCCCCTTGGCAAATCCTGGCTACGGACCTGCATGGGCTTTCAATAGATTGAATGCCCATGCACTATTGAAGTATATTCCTGGAAGAGTCCATTCTTTTGACAGGCTCTACATCAAAGTAGAAGACATGCGGAAATCCACATACCATCTTCTTAACACAGTTAAATATAGAAACAAGATGATGCAATAAGCTTTCATAATAAGAGACAATATTTCCTAAAATTTATCTGCAGGGGTTTCCTTTGTTCACACGTAGTGTCTCTGGACACAAACAGTTAATTTACATGCTAATTTAATTACATTGTTCTTTTTTATATTTGTATGTTCAGAAATATGGAAAACTATTGTTTTATAGACTCTGCACATATCATGTCTGCAAGTTTGCAAGGTGCGGGTTTAAGGGAAGGACTGAAAACTCTTGTTTAAAAATTACTTATTAATTATAAATAGGTAGAGGAATAGTCAGGTAGATGGTAGAGGGCCATTTCTGTTTGTTTCAAAATAAGCTGTTTTACACTGTGGGTCTTGGGTTTCCTAATACTCGCCAATAGCCTAGATGTGATTAGACATAATCTTGATTTACGTCATTAAATAAGTACATCTAGAGATATGGTTTCGAAAATTGTTTATCAACTTTGAAAATTGATTTTTTTTTTAAAGTTTGACTTCTCGTTCGGGTTGATTCCCATAGACCCAATGTTACAAAATCACAAAAAGTGAAATATCTTTTCTTGTATTGGACAGATAACATTTTCTTTTACTGGACATATTTTAATTTGCATAACTATTAGAAACATAAGGGTTATATGAAAATTGAACCACTAAAACAAATGTAATTTAATTTTAAGGGAACTTTCTGCTATACCCGCCATGCTATCTGACCTGAACGAGCCACCTGGTGGTGAAACTGGTAAATACCTACTCGCATCTGCGTTATTGGGCTGGCAAGTGCCTTTTCTGTTTTCACACTCGCCATTAAAAACTCTTGTTTGTTTCAAAATAAGTTGTTTTAATCAAATAGATAGGTAGACATTAAAAGTTTGACATTATATGATCTCAGTCTCAACTTTTCACAAATCCTCTAAAAAATATGTATATGGTTTCCTGCATCTTCACTGCAAAATGGTAAAAGCTAGAAAAAGAAGACAAACATCCAATATGGCCAAATGATCCAAGATGCAGTGGTCTCACCAGGATTTTTTCTCAGGTGGGTGCAAAATTCTCATTTTCATAATTCAGACCAAAATTGGTCAAAATATGCCAATTTTTCATGATTTTTCTCATTTTCAAGTGGGTGCAAATAGATTTTCAGGTGGGTACAAGTCTATTTTCAAAATAACCAAAATCATAAACATGGCATTCAAAATAAATCTAAATTGGATCACTTTTTAGATGATGTTGAAATGGGAATTTTAGAGCCACAAACTTTCGTCTTTATTTATTAGTAGTATATCTATATCATTTGGATCTTTACTGAACTCTACAGGCTGTGCCAAAGAGAGATCTACATGTAAACACTGTATGTTTAAAAAAGTATCCAGATCTGACCACTGTCTGTTTAATATATTTTCAAAAAGGGTATTACCTATAGACTCCCATCCTTTGTATAGAACTACTGAATTTAAAACACTAAAATCAGACTTTAGTAAAGTATCTTTTCCATGTCTTCTTATTTATTTTTGGCTGGCTTCACCTTCAGAAAATTGTTTGTGTATCGAAACATAGGGATGGTGTCAAATTATCAATAATTATGGATAAACAGATATTTCCATTATGGCTTGCCAATCCCTCCCCTCATATAATGAATTGTAATAAGCTGCCTGTCTTTCATTTGAATAGTCAAAAAATCAACACTCTTCAGTAATAAAATCATCATTTACCCCCTCCCCATAACAAAACTAACTTCATTCTTCAGCAATTGTTGATAAAAATATACCATCTTACCTATCTGTTGGAGAAATTTCTTCACTATATGCTGCGGTAGGGCCCTCTTGCTTCTTATGAATTTAGAAAGGTCACCCCCTGCGCTGTACTCCATTATAAGGTAAATGTATTTGTCATCCCACTGTAAAACACAAGGCATTAACATGACAAAATATCACCACCTAGTTGCTCACAATATTATGAGTTCAATCTTAAGTCAGTTTTGAATATCAGAGAACTTGTAGATGATTTTGACAAGTTGGTCAATTTGAAGCAAGTTGCCACTGAGAAGGTCATTCATTGAATGTAAAATCTCAAATCTTAAGTCAGATTTGAACCTCTGAGAACTTGTAGATGATTTTGAAAAAAATGGCATTGAAGGTCAAATCTTTTTTGACCTTCGGAATGTCATTGAAGGTCAAATATATAGTCAGTTTTGAACATTTGAGGTCAAATCTCAAATTTAAAGTCAGATTTGAACTTCTAATTATTATTATATCTTGGTTACCGCCATATTTGGGGAGCGATACCTCATTGGTATATTCCGTATTTTACACTCGAAGACAGAGCCAGAAACCCCTCCTTGGAGGAGCCCTGTGTTTTTTTGTGTGCACAGGTACGCAGACATACAGGTACACACCACAGCCTTTGATATGAGTCGTGAACAACTCAGTCAAACACCCAGAATTAAATAACACACAAACAAACTTGTCTGAACCGGGAATCAAACCCGGGCCCAAGCGCTATTGGTAACCCTGACTCTGCCACTGAGCCATGATTTTGAAAAAAAGATTTGGTAAATTTGAAGCAAGTTGAAAAAATACCTTTTTGATCTTCATTAACCTTTTTTGACCTTGAAAAGGTCATTGAAGGTCAAACCTTAAATATAAAGTCAGATTTGAACTTCTGAAAATGTGTAGATGATTGAAAAAAATTGAAGTCAGTCTAAACAGTATTTGTTACATTATTAGAAGTTATAAGAATTTTTTAGATGCCAACCATCACCCGGCAATCGCCAACCACCAACCACCACCCGACGATCACCAACCACCAACCGCCAATGGCTGCCACAAAAAACAGAGACCATAACAATATGTCATATTTTAGAATCTAGTGCAGTGGAAAGGATATGAGACAAGAGTTTTATATCTTACCTATACAGAGCACCTACCTGGAAGTCTTTAAGCTCTACAATATGCCTGTGTTTTAGAGTTTTCAATAATTTGATTTCTGTAAGGAGGTTTTCTGTAGATATTTTATTGAGGCTGGACTTCTCAACACATTTCACTGCAACCACTTCTCGTTGCCCATCCTAAATTGAGAATAATTCAAAATCAGGATTTTGGCTAGAATATACATCAAGAATAGAGGATCTCATTTCTCACATTATATTTAATTCTATGCCCCCCCCCCCTCCTGATCCCTCTAGATTGCCCCATACGCATCGCATGCGGCGCGTTTCACGCACGACCCATTCATACCCCTCTTGGCCAATCCTTCTGACACCCCTGTCTTATTATTAATATAATATTAATAATAATATGTAATATAGCAACACAAACTCACGCGCAGTGATATATCACTGCAGTGGGCAGGTATCTCACCGTAAGATTGGTAATTTCGTAACAAACAACTGATGTGATTGGTTCTAGTCCCATGCTAGGGTCGCATGATTGTAAAACTTAGACCCGGGAATTTAGACAATTTCATTGGTTGAATTGCGCATATTAACTAATAAACAACATGTGCGGTAAACTATTATCAACACAACTTTTACTCAGAATTCCTTCCGTGGTGATGTCTTCTCATATTTCAATAATTTTGAGATATTTTGACAAAATAATGATTGGGGAACATTCATGAATACATATTTTATAAGTTGTGTGAAAATTGACCACATATATGATGAAAATGGGAACTATTTTCACAGAATTTTGGAGATGATTTTTTTCATCTGCCCGATGCAGTATCTATACCGAGACACTGCATGCGAGTTCGATAGTAACATTGAATGAATGATCCCACGACTGTAAGTTGTGGAGCTCGATAAACAGACGGTACATGAATTACTTGTTCTTCTACGAGCCCATGTTGTTCCTGAGAACTCAAGATCAAAATCTAACCATGACACACATGCTATCTATTGCAAGACTTACGCCTGCCACAACCGTCACCATGTTAATCAGTGTTTTTTAAGTAGCGCAAGGATCCTGCCATGACCGTGGTAGTGTTATCGTGTAAGCCTGATATAACCGTGACAGGCTGGTATAACCGTGACAATGCTGTATTCTATTGCAAGGCCTGTCATGACCCTGGAAGTGTTATCGTGGAAGCCTGGCGCGACCGTAGCCTTTATTGTGGTTTATAAGCGAATGTGAATATTAATGTATAGTAGTAATTTTGATTTTGACATGGTTAAGGTAGTTAAACAACATGATCATAGTATTAAACTGTTTAAATGTAATGAGGATCACTTAAAATTGTTAAGGATATTCCTGGCATTAATGTCATACATATTTACTAGTCATTGCAATACATTATAACGGTCATAGTAGAACTAAGCCTAAATCTTTACTAACCACCCTCATACCTGGCCTTGCAATACTATATTACATTGTCACGGTCATACCAGGCCTTGCGATCCCATAATACATTGTCATGGTCATGCCAGGTTTTCAAATACACATTGTCACGGTCAATTATAGCAATCATAAATTTCTACATTACCACTCTCATACCCGAACTTGGAACTTACTATATCACATTGCCATGGCGGTCATACCAAGCCTTGCAATAGTATATTACATTGCCATGGTCATGTCAGGCTTTGCAATACACATTGTCACGGTTATAGCAGTCCTAATCGTAAATTTCTACATTACCACTCTCATACCTGAACTTGCAATACAATATTACATTGCCACGGTCATGCCAGGCCTTGCAGTACTATATTACATTGTTACGGTCATATCAAGCCTTGCAGAACTATATTACATTGTCACGGTCATGGCAGGCATTGCAATATAATACAGCATTGTCGCGGTTATACCAGGCTTTCACGATAACATTACCACGGTCATGGCAGGATCCTTGCGCTACTTAAAAAACACTGAATAACATGGTGACGGTTACGCCAGGCGTTAGTCTTGCAACAGATAAGGTCTCCCATGACATTGATAAAAAAACTGGTAAAGATTACTCTATACCGAGCTGACAGAAGTCTTGAGCCAGCTGTGTTCAGTATGGTAAAGATAACCCCAACTTCATTTTAACGAAATGCGAGCTTAAACTCATGACAAATGCATCGTTCATCTTTGACTTGAGACTAGAAAAACGAAATGTCATCAATTTCTAAACACGGAAGTGTCGATTTTCAAAATAAAACAACGTTTATGGAGACTAAAGAATATAAGCATCTATACATGTATCACTGAAATTGTAGCACAGAAGCAATGTACCTTTCTATATGCTTTGTATACCGTAGCATACGTTCCACTACCAAGCTTTTCTGTGAAAACAAAACCAGAGAGACGGGGCCCGAAATTTGCAGCCGCCATGTTGGGTACAATCTGGTCTCTCTACCGAAGAGCTTTTGTTTTTTCCTTTTTAGATTTAGCTTGTTTATGAGCATATAATAATAATTTTAAACGATGAAAATTTAAATAAATATTAATTATTCAAATATATATGTAAATATGACCAAAAAAACTAAGTTTAAGCTTCTAATACCTGAAATGACTTTTCTTTGAGACTACTTTTTCAGTGTACAAGTTTCTATAGCATTGAAATCAAAACATTTATTTTTGGTCGATTATATCCACGTTTTTAGGCCTAAATGATTCTGAAATCTTCAATCGGAATAAGCAATAGAGGTTGGTATAGATCTAGTTAACATACATTTTAACTTCGTGTACAGATGCAACGGCTCAAAAGAGTTATATCAATTACAAGATTGGAGATTTCAAGTGACAGTTTTGCCCTTGAATTTGAATGAAGTAGGCTAGACAGCTGTTGCCTATTATTATATTAAAACCTGACAAGTACAGTGACAGTTACTAGGCTGACAAAATACTGTGCGCTGGGCCTTTATTTCAAGGAAGAGCCTGTCATTTGTTGATACTCGAGTTTATATCAGATGTGAATGGATTTGAGATCTCAGGTCAAGGGACATGGTTAACAATACGAAGCCTTGTAAATCTTGTAAATAACTGTCCTATAATTAAATGTTGAAACAGTTTTACATTTATGAAGCTTCATTTTTGATTAGAAATGTAACATGCATCACTTTTTGGATTCAGGTTTGACAGGTACAGCATGAGACAAATATTTGGGTGACACACACTAGAAACGGGGGCTCATAAAGCGATACAAGTAGCCATGGGACAAAAAGATCTTGTTGTGTGTTATATATGCAGTAGAGAATTTGGAAGTAGGTCAATCAGTATACATGAGCCACAATGTATGAAAAAATGGCACATGGAAAATAATTTGTTACCAAAAGGTCAGAGAAGAAGACCACCTGTCAAGCCACAGCAACTGCCAAATATTAGTGCAAAGGGTTCATATAATGTAAGTGCTTACAACGAGGCTGCATATCAGAGTGCTCAGTCTCAGCTCTTGCCATGTGAAAATTGTGGCCGGACATTCAATCCCGATCGTTTACCTGTTCACCAGCGTAGTTGTCGTCCTAATAATCCAATGAAACCAGTTAAGCGCCAGGAAGGAGCAAATGAAAATCGTCCCAAAACAGCAACTATAAACAATCCAAAAGTGCTTACAAGTAACAGAATAGATGTCAATGAAAGTCCTGTTGGTCCTCGTCCTAGTACTCGGACTCTTTCAAAGAGACCCCCCTCCAGCAATGGTGGTGACTCCCCACCCTCTAAATCCCCAAGTAAAGGTTTTGGGAATAGTGGTCCAAGATTTGTCCTTTGCTATATCTGTGGTAGGCAATACAGTTCAGCATCAATAGGCATTCATGAGCCTAAATGTCTTGAAAAGTGGCACATTGAGAATAAAGCACTACCTAAAGAGCTGAGACGTCCTGCCCCAAGGAAACCTGAAGCGGTGGAGAGTGGGGGGAGCTTAGAAGCAGCAAATGAGGCAGCCATGAATAGTGCAATGTCAAACTTAGCCAAGTGTGAAAATTGTGGTAGGACATTCCAACCAGACAGGCTGATTGTACATCAAAGGTCATGTCGACCAAAGACTGACTCCACCCCACATTCAAGGACAGGGGGAGGAGCTATGACCCCCAAAACTCCCTCTCCCCCTAAAACTCCAAAGACAATGCCAGCCATGCGTAAAACCATTGTATGCTATATATGTGGTCGTGAATTTGGCAGTAAATCTATCTCAATACATGAGCCTCAATGCCTAGAAAAGTGGAAAGTGCAAAATAAACAGTTACCAAAGGAACAAAGGAGACCATTACCCAGAAAACCAGAAGTGGTTGGATCAGGAAATATGACCAAGTAAGAATTTAGGTTACTATGCTATAGTTGTGTGGTTTAATCATTTAGAAAATTCAGATTTTCATCCACCCTTCTAATTAGCCATATAAAAACATCATTATTTTATTCTATGTGGGTGCTCTTGCAGTAATATTTATCTCTCAAGTGAAAACAGATTATTGCCCAGGGAACTCGTGAATGATAAATAAACACACCTTGAAAGTCAACCTCGAATGTCTATATAAAATAATCAATAGAGTATCAACATTGAACCATTATTTGCGCTTGACATGTATCACAGCAACGACATTCACCTTAAGGCTACACATTCAGCATCAACAAAATGAAAATCAATAAAGATATGTTTGTATAAAATATATTCTCAGTGATTGCATTTCTGGCATTAAAGGGGTGATTGAGGAATAAGTTGGAAAAAATGTCACAATTTTACTATTGTTCACTTGGAGCTCTCGTATCATACATGTAGTACTAAACAAAAATTCAAAAAGGCCTTAGTGAGCTTTACTGTCCTGTTTAAGAACCCCTATTCTATCTTTCGAAAAAAGATTCAAAGTTTCAAAGATTCAAAGATTAAAGGACCAGGTATGGTTTGGCAAATTATTTCCATATTTTTTATGACAGTCATATGTTTTACCACAATCATTTTTTCATCATAAATTCAACATTAATTTCTCATCAAACTAATAGGTTTTCCTCCAAGAAGGTCCCCAGGATGATAAAAGTATCTGTCTAACTCAAAAAACATGGATAAGGACCCCATCACAACATTTTTCAAACTTTAGATTTGAATGGAAAGTCTCATTTGGAAGAAATCAAATTTTGGTGACCAAACTTAGTCTAAAAACAGTTTTCCCTATGGGTAAATAACATGGGATATGTTGTTAAATCCACAGTTCCCCCTTTCAGAGGTTAATGACTAAGGTGTTTAATTGATATTTCTAATTATCCTGATAACTTAACTTCGAAGAAAACATATTATTTCAATGAAAAATTTTGTATTTATGGTTTGGATATAGTCATGGTCAAAGATATGGTTGTGTGAAATCATTTGCCATACCATACCTGGTCCTTTAGGATTGCAATGAAATATCAAAATGAAAACCTTTGACAAATTGAAACTAAATGTTATTTCCAGTGAAGAGAGAAATGAAGCAGCTTGGAAGGCCGCCAAAGCAAACCTGGTCCCATGTGAGAACTGCGGACGTACGTTTGCACCAGATAGGCTCCCAGTGCACCAAAGGTCATGTAGGCCGAAGACTGGGGGTCGTACACCAATGAGTATGAAATCAGCTGATCTGCGGTATAACCCTGGTGGGGCGACCCCTTCAGTGAGTATACTCAGAACTGATAAAATTGATTTTATACAATAGGAGTATTACCAATGACATTTGCTCACTATACTTTTAACTAATTGTTTTATATTTAATATTTCAAAGTTGTTCACACAGTTTGATAGCTCTATACAGGAATACGTGTTCTTTTTGTAGAAACCCAAGACCCCTAAGCCAGATGTTATAAGAAGGCCGCCGGCAGTTGTGTGCTATATATGTGGTAGAGAGTTTGGGACCAAGTCAATCTCAATACACGAGCCTCAGTGTTTGAAGAAGTGGCACATTGAGAATGACAACCTTCCTAAACACATGAAACGACCCCCTCCCAAGAAACCAGAGGTTCGGAAAATAGGAGGTTAGTACAGTATTAGTTTGGTAGATTTAAATGACATCAATTTCATTGCCAAACGTTCTTCAAATAAAATCAACACTTTTCCGACCCATAGGCAATTTATTGAATGTCAATGAAATTTCAATGAGCCAATGTAGGTCATTTATAAAGAGACAATAAATAAACTAATGGACCTCGAGATGTAAAAATAGGATGGCAGATTTAAATAGGAGATCCAAGATGCACTTTTCTGTGGATAGTGTTCAGTGGTTGGTGTTCGATGTCTGGCAGGTGTCTGACAAATGGCAGGTAGAGACATTTTGCATGCTAATGCCTCATTTATTGATTATATTTCTAAAACTTCAAGTTGATTAGACCAGCTGAATTCTTAAACTGTCCTGTATTGTACATAGTACATGCCTTCCTTTAAAGGAATATTCCTTGCGAGAACATCTCTCTCCTAATATGGTAGCTACAACCATATATATAACTAGATTTTGGAAATTGAACGAAGTTCAATTTCAGACTCCAGATCTAGACTTTTTTTAGCCGAGTCATCCAGAATAAGCCGAGTCATCCAGAATAAGCTGAGTCATCTACAAAGAGATGGATAAATAAAATAGGAAGGTAGGATAGGATAGAATAGGAAAGAACGATGGGATAGAATAAGAAAGAAGGATAGGATAGAATAGAATAGGAAGAAAGGATAGGATAGGAAGGATAGGAAGGAAAAGATACGAAGAAAGGATAGAAAAGATACGAAGAAAGGATAGAAAGGAAGGATAGAATAAGATCAGATAGGAAGGATGGATGAATTTTTCAACATTTTCTTCTCTACTCTTGACTTTCTATCAGGATACCATCAGATCGATTTTCCGAAATTTCAAAACGCCATAACTTCCGAACCGGAAGTCGGATCGAAATTCGATTGAACGATTTGGATTCCTGACAAAATTCTACCCCTAATTCATAACTCCTACGTTAAATTTGGAGCTTTTTTATTTTGACCTACTTTTCGGACACGCCATAACTTCCGAACCGGAAGTCGGATCGAAATTTGGTTTGCAGATTCGGATTCCTGACAGAATTCTACCCTTAATTCATAACTCATATATTAAATTTGGAGAACTTTTTATTTTGACCTACTTTTCGGACACCATATCTCAAAAGTGGGTCAAAATACTTTCTGACGGCAAAAGGCTAACACTATAAGCATATTCTTGGCTACATGTATACACAATTTCGAAGAATATAATTAGAGTGTAGTGTCAGAATCGAAAAAATAAGGAAAACCTTTGAATTTGACCTAGATTTTGACCTAGGCATTTCGGTGTCCAAATTTTAAAGCTAGATGGCTTTTGAGGTCCCCTTCTTTTAAAGGCTTTGATTATATGAAGCTGAACTCAGTATTTTCCGTATTTTTCACTTCAAAAAAATATTTTTTCCCATTGACTTAACATGGGCACAAAATTTAGCGAATTTTGAGTTTTCAAAACGCCATAACTTCCGAACCGGAAGTCGGATCGAAATTTCGTTTTCAGATTCTGAATCCTGAGAAAATCTCCTATAAGATCAATATCCTGGACATTTGATTCGGAGAACTTTTTTTTGGACCTCGTTTTCGGACACTGATATCTCGAAATCGGTTTGAGATATCAAAAAACTAAATCGACCCTAGGTTTCCTACTTTTTTATAAGGAACACAATGAAAAAAACCCGGATCAAAAATATTGAAGGACGACCGAGGAAATCGAAAAAAGTGACAAAATACTGGATTTGACCTAGTTCTTGACTTTTGACCTAGATAAAAATTTGACCCAATTTCCGAGGAACTAGATTCTGGATCTAAATTGACCAAATGACTGACTTTACTGAAAACCTTATGGTTATTGAGAAAACTGGGTTAGAATAATAATAATAACTAGATTTTGGAAATTGAACAAGTTCAATTTCAGACTCCAGATCTAGACTTTTTTTAGCCGAGTCATCCAGAATAAGCTGCGTCATCCAAAATAAGCTGAATCATCCAGAAAAAGATGGATAGATGAAAAAGGAAGGAAGGATAGGATAGAATAGGAAGGAACGATAGGATAGAATAGGAAAGAAGGATAGAATAGAATAGGAAGAAGGGATAGAATAGAAAGGAGGGGATACGAAGGAAGGGTAGATAGGAAGGATAGGATAAGATCAGAAAGGAAGGATGGATGCATTTTTCAATTTTTTCTTCTTACTCTTGACTTTCTATCAGGATACCATCAGATCGATTTTTATTGAAATTTCAAAACGCCATAACTTCCGAACCGGAAGTCGGATCGAAATTTGATTTGCAGATTCGGATTCCTTACAAAATTCTACCCCTAATTCATAACTCATGCATTAAATTTGGAAACCTTTTATTTTGACCTACTTTTTGGACACGCCATAACTTCCGGACCGGAAGTCGGATCGAAATTTGGTTTGCAGATTCGACCTCTAATTCATAACTCATACGTTGACTTTGGAAATTTTTTTATTTTGACCTACTTTTCGGACACCATATCTCAAAAGTGGGTCAAAATACTTTCTGACGGCAAAAGGCTATCACTATTAGCACACGTATTGGCTACATGTATACAAAATTTCGAAGAATATAATTAATCTGTAGTGTCAGAATTGCAAAAATAAGGAAAAACTTTGAATTTGACCTAGATTTTGACCTAGACATTTTGGTGTCCAAATTTTAAAGCTAGATGGCTTTTGAGGTCCCATTCTTTTTAAAGCTTTCATTATATTTAGCTGAACTCAGTCTATATTTCGTATTTTTCACTTTAATAAAATCTTTTTTCCCATTGACTTAACATGGGCTCCAAATTTAGCGATTTTTTAGCTTTCAAAACGCCATAACTGTAGAACAGGAAGTCTGATTCAAATTTCGTTTTTAGATTCGGAATCCTGAGAAAATTTCCTATAAGATTAATATCCTGGACATTGGATTCGGAGATTTTGATTTTTGGACATCGTTTTCGGACACTGATATCTCGAAATCGGTTTGAGATATCAAAAAACTAAATCGACCCTAGCTTTCCTACTTTTTTATAAGGAACACAATGAAAAAAACCCGGATCGAAAATATTGAAGGACGACCGAGAAAATCGAAAAAAGTGACAAAGTACTGGATTTGACCTAGTTCTTGACCTTTGACCTAGATAAAAATTTGACCCAATTTCCGAGGAACCAGATACTGGACCTAAATTGACTGAAAAATGATCTTTATTGGATACCTTATGGTTATAGAGAAAACTGGGTCGGAATAATAACTAGATTTTGGAAATTGAACGAGTTCAATTTCAGACTCCAGATCTAGACTTTTTTTTAGCCGAGTCATCCAGAATAAGCAAAGTCATCCAAAATAAGCTAAGTCATCCAGCAAAAGATGGATGGATGAAAAAGGAAGGAAGGATAGGATAGAATAGGAAGTAACGATAGGATAGAATAGGAAAGAAGGATAGAATAGAATAGGAAGAAGGGATAGAATAGGGAATAGGAAGGAGAGGATACGAAGCAATGGTAGATAGGAAGGACAGGATAGGATCAGAAAGGAAGGATGGATGCATTTTTCAATATTTTCTTCTCTACTCTTGACTTTCTATCAGGATACCATCAGATCGATTTTTCTTGAAATTTCAAAACGCCATGAATTCCGAACCGGAAGTAGGATCGAGATTTGATTTGCAGATTCGGATTCCTGACAAAAAATTCTACCCCTAATTCATAACTCATACGTTAAATTTGGCGAATTTTTATTTTGACCTACTTTTCGGACACGCCATAACTTCGGAACCGGAAGTCAAATCGAAATTTGGTTTGCAGATTCGGATATCTGAGAAAATCCTATTCTTAATTCATAACTCAAACATTAAATTTGAAGAACTTTTTATTTTGACCTTCTTTTCGGACACCGTATCTCAAAAGTGGGTCAAAATACTTTCTGACGGCAAAAGGCTAACGCTATAAGCACAGTCTTGGCTACATGTATACACAATTTCGAGGAATATAATTAAAGTGTAGTGTCAGAATCGCAAAAATAAGGATAAACTATGAATTTGACCTAGATTTTGACCTAGGGATTTTGGTGTCCAAATTTTGAAGTTAGGTAGCCTTCGAGGTTCCCTTCTTTCATAGGCTTTCATTATTTTAAGCTGTACTTAGTCTATATCTCGTATTTTACACTTCAAAAAAATCTTTTTTTCCCATTGACATAACATGGGGCACCAAATTTAGCGATTTTTGAGCTTTCAAAATGTCATAACTTCCGAACTGGAAGTCAGATTGAAATTTGGTTTGCAGATTCGGATTCCTGAGAAAATTCTACACTTAGTTCATAACTCACACGTTAAATTTGGAGAATTTTTTATTTTGACCTACTTTTCGGACACCATATCTCAAAAGTGGGGCAAAATACTTTCTGACGGCAAAAGGCTAACACTATTAGCGCATTCTTGGCTACATGTATACAAAATTTCGAAGAATATAATTAATCTGTAGTGTCAGAATAGCAAAAATAAGGAAAAACTTTGAATTTGACCTAGATTTTGACCTAGGCATTTTGGTGTCCAAATTTTGAAGCTAAATGGCTTTTGAGGTCCCATTCTTTTAAAAGCTTTCATTATATTTAGCTGAACTCAGTCTATATTTCGTATTTTTCACTTCAAAAAAATCTTTTTTCCCATTGACTTACATGGGCACCAAATTTAGCGATTTTTGAGCTTTCAAAACGCCATAACTTCCGAACCGGAAGTCGGATCCAAATTTGGTTTTCAGATTCGGAATCCTGAGGAAATATCCTATAAGACTAATATCCTACACATTTGATTCGGAGAACTTTTTTTTGGACCTCGTTTTCAGACACTGATATCTCGAAATCGGTTTGAGATATCAAAAAACTAAATCGACCCTAGATTTCCTACTTTTTTATGAGGAACACAATGAAAAAAACCCGGATCGAAAATATTGAAGGACGACCGAGAAAATCGAAAAAAGTGACA